CCAGAGGGTGATTCTGCAGTGTCTATCAAAATTAAAACCAGTTATTGACTCAGCAGTTCCACCTATGGAAAGTTATCCTGCATATATACTCAAAGATGTATATATACAACAATATTTATTGCAATGCTATTTGTAGTAGCAAAAAGTTGAAAACAAACCAACTGCCCACCAATAATGGACTCGTTAAATACTACTTTGCTGAACATATTCCATATAAAGGAATACTACGACACCATTCAGATGAATAAGTAGAGCTATCTATGCAAACATGGAACAATCTCCAAGACTGATTCACTGAAGCAGCAAGCAGCAGAACAGGGTGTTAGAACATACAAAGGTGGATGGTGGGAGCTGTATCACACATACACTAATGTTTGTGACGTCGACTATACACACCAGGGGAAAATCGTTTTAAAGTAGCCCAACGGCACTGCGCCCGGCCCAGTCGCTTCCCAGTGGGGGGCGGTCTCCCAGTGCCACTCCTGCTTCTGTGAATTTTCTGAAACTCCGCAGGTCTCAGGGACTGTGACAACTCTGGTCTGCGCCACTGCTTACCTACCACTTCTTCACTTAGCTATTTTAGAGAAAAGATGGCACAGAGAACTGATGATGACTTCTAACAAATGCCTGACGGTGTAGAGACAAAATTACACTTCGAAGGTGCATCCAGCTCCAAGCTGTCTAAAATGCTGCACAGGGACAGAGCTGAGGCCGTCCATGACAGGGGTAAGAAGCAGGCTTCCCTCTTCTCTACCTCAAAAACCTAAGTAAAGGTGAGGAACAACTACATAGGAAAGTATGTCGGTCCTAAAAAGGCAAAGAAGAGGGACAGGGCCTTCTTAGGACTATCCTGCCACTCTGCAAGGCTGGGTAGCTCTGGACAGTCATTCACATACAAGGGACACCCAAGTCCTAAGTGAGGGATCAGGTAGACACTGCTGATGTCTCTCTCCATTTGTTGTTATCGGAAACAGGCAATGGGTAGAAATACATGTTTCTGTAATACAGCTGGCCAAGGACTAAGGATACTCCACATTCAGCAGTTAATTCGATCTCTTTACATAGAACCTAAGGCTTCATTTCAGCTACTTGGAAGAACTATCCACAAACCGTCAAACCACCATCCATGTACCAAACAGGGTCAGAGGGTGGTGGTGGTGAAAGGAATTATGATAATATAAAAACATGAAATATTAGGCAAGAAGTCATTTAGAAATCATTTTTAATGAGTCTCCAATGATTTAATTAGCCCGAGAGCCAACGTATACATTAAGAACTCCAGAACAAGAACATTTAGGAGATTCAGAAGATCTGCCCTTTTATCTGTTTGCCAATAAGCTAGCTTGCAGACTAAAAATCTCCTGCTTTGTCTAATTTATATCTAGAAGATTAATGAAAAGTTTTCGTTAGTGAAAACTTTGTGGTTTTCCACTTTAGAAATTAACATCCATGAAAACCTTCTAAATTTCTAGGATC